GCCGCGAGTTTTTTCACAATTAGGTCAATTAAATTTACCGACTTTATAAACTTTCAGGGTAGTCTTAATCCCAAACTTTGCCTAGTTTTCGAAACGTGTTACCGATAAAGACTGGAGAGGCAGGGACTAAAATGACAATGGTTGGCCTATTTTCTGTCATCCGTCGGCCCTACTTAGATCCCCAGCCAGCAGGACCTGTAAATTTTAATATTGGGTAATCGGTTAACAAACCTTTGATTTAATGCTGCGTCATGTCTTAGTGATCGGGGATGTTCGGAGTCGTATAGAAGCGTCCACCGATCTATGTCAATTGCGATATCTTTATCAGCAACAATTCTCCGCCATTGCTTGTTAACTGTTCCGTGGCCGCTGTACGCTCGCCTGCAACAACTCGATCGGAGGTTTAAGGTGGGGTGAAATCGCGCATATTCCGTCCTCTCACGAAGATCCATCGGTGGACGCCTCTCGCATGAGATTTTTTTCATTTCCAAGCTTATTTAGTCGTCTACTCGACTAACCAACGCACACTACACATCTCTTCGCACAGTCTTCTAACCGTGAAACTGAACTTCTAAGGCATCCAAAAAGAATGAAGTATTCAAATACTGATATTGCTGTCTAAACATTCCACGGAACTTAAACTACCGGCCACTCTTATTCAGTACTTTTTTTCGCACTCTTAATGAGAGACAGTCGTATCACAGTAACTTTTCTTCTTATTATTTTTGGAAGCACACTTATCAGGAAGTAGTGGGGCCAGTACCTTCGAACATTTAGGATAGTTCCTTCCGTGCCCTTCTTGGATGATTAACAGCACTATTTTTTTCAGATACAGACACTTAGAAATATAGAAGGGAAAATTAATAGATTGTGTTACTTCCTAATTATATGAAGGTTATCCCTTTTCAGTCCTCATTCTCATGTCTGGCTATCCTCCCCCAATTGGCTTCTCGTTGGACGGGCAACCGGGCTATCCCGGCTATCCCCCCAATCCAGCTCAAGGTTTCGGAGCACCTCCGGGCCCCGGATACCCAGCACCTCAGGGTCCCGGATACGGTGCACCTCC